AGAAGGTGGGGGTGTTTGTGGACTATGAGGAGGGTCTGGTCTCCTTCTATGACGTAGATGCTGCAGCTCTGATCTACTCGTTCACTGGCTGCTCCTTCACAGAGAAGCTCCACCTGTACTTGAATCCGTGTAATAATGATGATGATGGTAAAAACGCTGCACCTCTGCTGATCACTGCTGTCGATCTCATTCTGTGTGAAGACCGTCTGGATTAAGAACATTCACTGATAACACTCGATGAGTTTGGTGTTCGTGTCACACAGTGGAAAATTGTTTTTATATTTTGTTTTGGATCAGGCTGTTTATTGGTACATAGTGTTGATTTTATTTGCATGGTTTTATCCTCATATTTATATTGTGTATTTTAGTGTTGTTGCACAATATTCTTTTAATCCACTGTGGACTAAGCAGACCTGTAGGCACCTGTGAGGCGGGGTGTTCCCCGAGCCGGCCTATCAGCCGCCAAACTGACCTGCTAAAGGGGATAGTGAGAGAGCGACGCACGAAAGGTGAGCAGGAGAAAAAAGAAACATGTTCAAGCCAGCATATGTGTCGAAGGACCTGCTGCTTGGGTGCCACGAGTCGTTCGGCAACGGACCGGCCAGCGGAACACGGCGATCCAGTCCCAACGGCAGGAACAGTGACAGTGGGTGGCGATGCCCGCAATCCACAGCAGGGCAGGGGTGTCCCTCTGCCTGCATCTGGCGGTGCTACGAGGGAGGCCGTGTTCAGGTGTGGAGTGGGGCGGGACTGTGCGGTGACGCGCTGTCAGGAGAAGACAGGTCTGCAACAGGAGCCTCCTCCTTGTTCTTTTGGCCGGTGTGGCTTCCATCCCGGAAGTTCCTCTCCTGTTTCAGATAAGGACCATTTGCCCGCGTGTGGCTGGACTGTGGGGGGGATTTTAGCATATGGGAAACATTTGTGTAGCTTTTGTTTTGATAGTATATAGTTATTTCTGCGTGTTGGAAACTCTTTATTGTATAGGGGGATTTTAAACTGTATTTGTGATTCTGGTTGTGTCTGCGTTCCCATGGAAATAAAGGGTGTGTTTAAGGCCCTGAGCGCCGACCCACTCACTCCCCTTCTTCTTGTATGTGAACGGACTTTGAGGTTAACATATATATCCAGCAGTTTCAGCGGCTACATTCATATCATTGATCTCACACGTACAGTACATTGTTTAAAAATGGAAATAATCTGTAAAATTCTGTAAAAATAAAACAAAACAAACAAATAATCTGACAGAAAAATATCGTACAGCAGTGGAACTTTAACAGTTTGTAATTTTGGTAATTAAAATGTCCATCCATTCGCTTATCCTTTTCAGGGCTGCGGGGGGCGCTGGAGCCTATCCCAGCTGTCGTAGGGCGAGAGGCAGGGTACACCTTGGACAGGTCGCCAGTCTGTCGCAGGGCCAACACACAGGGACAGACAACCAGTCACACTCACATTCACACCTAGTGGCAATTTGGATTATCCAATTAACCTATCCCCACAAGCTGCATGTCTTTGGACGGTGGGAGGAAGCCGGAGTACCCGGAGAGAACCCACGCAAACACGGGGAGAACATGCAAACAGAAAGACCCCGGCCTGATGGTGGAATTGAACTCAGGACCTTCTTGCTGTGAGGCAACAGTGCTAACCACCGTGCCACCGTGCTGCCACCGTGGGAAATGTGTTTAAATAAAAACTTTTGTATATTTTATAGTCTGTTTAAAACATTAATCGATCTACTGTTTTAAAAACATCTGAAGAGACAGATGAGAGACCCCACCCGCACCTACGGTCACGAGCTGTGGGATCGGTCACTGCCCACAGCTCGTGACCGTAGGTGAGGGTAGGGACGTAGATCGACCTCCAAATCGAGAGCTTCGCTTTTACACTCAGCTCTCTTCACCACGACGGACCGGTGCAGCGTCCGCTTTGCTGCAGCAGCAGCACCAGTCCGTCTGTCGATCTCCCGCCCCCCTCTCCCATCACTCGTGAACAAGACCGAGATATTTAAACTCCTCCACTTGGACCAGGAACTCGTCCCCACCCGGAGTGGGCACTCCACCCTTTCCCAGCTGACGGCATCCTTAAAATGTTTATGGTGCAAACTCAGCTTTTGGAATATCCAAGAAGAAAGCATGTGTACTAAACCAACTACTGAGTGCAAGAAGAGCCAAAAGCTCACTGACATCACCTTAGTCGTAGCTTTGCTAGCAAGCACACGGTCTTGTCATCATGAGAGGAAGACTCAGTTTAATATGTAGCTGGTGACGCGACGTGGCTGCTCAGCGTCAGTGTCTGCAGACAGAGTGATCTAATGGTACAAAGCTTGGGTTTGGTTTACTCACCCTGCAGATGCAATGTGTGGTGCTGTTTCTCCAGAGTTTTGCTTGTTGTTGGTTATTTAAAGTCTCCATCTTCTCTGGATTTGGAGTTTCCTCCTCTTCCTCAGCCCTAGCTACATGTGCAAGTAACTTTACTGACGTCTGCAGCACGAACACATTATGGAGAAAGAGAGGGAACAAGGATGTGTGCAGGCCGTAAATGGTATAAAAGCTGCTTCAAGCTTTAAATAAATTCCACTAAAGATCCAAACCTGCTGTGGGACGGACACAGATACGCTGTGAAGGAGCCGTAACTCAAACGGCTGCTCGGCCTCCACAGAGGAAGAAGGCGAGGACGCGAGTTTTTCTCTTTAATATGGATTTACTGAGATTGTTTACATCAGTGGATACAGGAAACACACAGCGACGTACAGACACACCACAGGCTACAGTGTACCAGTTAAAAAGGAGACGAGCTCCTTAGAGCCAATCACAGATGTCACGCCTCTCCTTTCAAAGTTCGTCTTCAGTGCATCAGTTAAAGTCAAACTTCTCCAACCATAAACCAGCAGTGGACAGAGGAGGTGTCGGTCAGAGTCCCAGTTATGAGCAAGAGGAGGACGTGGAGCCAGTTTATCACCAGCTCCCAGTAAAAGAGATCCAACACACACACACACACACACACACACACACACACCTCGTCTAACGTGGGAATGTACAGAGTTACAGATGATTAAAGTTTAGACCGACAGCATCAGCTCCTCACACGGCAAAATCTAAATACAGTTTAATAAAATCAAATAAAGCACAAAAAGTCTAAAATCAAAAATAAACACTGACCTGTTTGTTCTTCAGTCCCATTAAACCTTTGAAATAAACGTGTCGTTAAGAAGGCGATGAGAAAGTGAACGATCAGTGTGTGTGTGTGTGTGTGTGTGTCAGTGTGTGTGTGTGTGTGTGTCTGTCAGTGTGTGTGTCTGCGTGTGTGTGTGTTGGAGCACTTCAGTCAGAGTGTGTTTGTGGGGTTTCTGTGTTATTGTGACAGTTTAAACTACGTTTGTCTCTAATAAAAAAATCTCCCCGGTGTTCCCAAAGTAACTGTAGTAGAAGCCCCGCCCACCAGGGGCTTAAAGGGGGCGGGCCATTTTGAACTGAATCAAAGCTGCTCTAGCAGCACTTCAGTGTTTAGACTGAGCAGACGGCTGATCCAGGATCAGACTGAAGCCCTCTGAGGAAACGGCCGCCTGTCGTCCACACAAATACGACCCCACAGGCGTGACTGCTGTGACGAGCTAACGAGGGCCACGCTGAACACGTACAGCAGGTCAGCTTCATGATCTACAGTGAAACCTTTATGCCCGTTATGCCGCGCTGCAGGACGAGGAAGACTGGGTGGAAACAAGTTTTCAGACTCTTCAGTGGAGAGAAGAAGAGACAATAACTCGTGTTTGTTCTGATCGCTTTAAACTCGTGTGCGTCTGACTTCCTGTCACTGTGCAATCGTGCGTTTCAGTACAAATGTCAGTAACCTAAAAACATTTAAATTGAAGCAGCCTGTCTGTTCTGTGAACCAAAAACGTTAAACCGTGTTTTCACCTCCGTCTCAAACGCCGCCGAGGTTTCTCCCTTTAACCTGGAAACGTCACCTCGCCGTCCTGTGAATAAATATTAATAAAAGCCAGCAGAGTCCCTTTGATCCGGTCCGTGTCACTCCAAGTCCGGGTCCTTGCCGACATCACCGCCGCTGGATGAGCGGCTGCTGAGGTCGGCCACGCCCGACTCCAGGTCGCTGCAGGTGGAGAGGTCATCGGGGTCGTGACTCTTGAGCTGGGCATGTGGCCCTAAGGGCAGGGAGAGTGCGGGCTCCTTGGTTTGAGTCTTCTGATTGGCTGGTGCAGAGGAAAGTGTGTGACTGCTGTCCTGTGCGAGGCTGGCGATTGGCTCTCTGTATAAGGTGGGCGGGTCCGGCCCGCTGTGCCTCTGCGGCAGGCAGCTAGTCCTCCTCCGGGGAACCTCGATCTTCTCCCAGGTGATCGGCTTCCCCGTCAGCTCTGCGATCCTCTGCACAGAGACAAGAAGCTTACAATCAGCTGACAGGACTCGTAACTGGAAAAACTTTATTAACACTCAGAGAGTTACAGGTTAGAACGAGGCTGCAGCCCAGCTGCAGTTCCCCTCACGTCCACTAGAGGCTCCAGCAGTGACTCAGTCCCATAGACTCCTATGTTAAAACTTTACAGAAGAAACAAAGGTGTTTTTAACATGACGTAGCTGCTAGCTGTCTGACTTCACCTCAGCTAACCCTGAACTTGACCTCTGCACCGTGTTTGTGCTGTTGCAGCTTTTTAATGACATCACCTGACCAATAATGTGTCGGCTGTGAGGTTACTGGACTAACAGACTGTCCAATGAGATGTTACTGAGCGCTAACATCAGGTATGTGTGACACAGTCTATGGTGGCCAAATACAGTAACCTTTACGCAACCCAGCAGGGCGGCTAATGCTAACATGCTAATGTCCAATTCTGAGATGTAGAGCCAGTTTCCTTCTTTTATATACAGTCTTTGCTACCAACATAAGACATTTAAAAAAAATTAATCTAGAAACTTCTGCAGATTTTTTAAACTTGGTTTAATAGCTGCTGAATTATTTTTAATTTTGGGGGTAAAAAGTTTTAAAAAGTAGACGGTCGCAGTTTAAGCAGCGAAGCTGAAGTGAACGATCTGTGCTGGTGTCATAACAGGCGTGTCGTGTGTTGTATGCCTTGTCTGGAGCCCGGGTGGTGGTGGTGGGCGGTTCCTCCTGGCGGTACCTCCTGGTGATTGGTCAGCTCCTCTTCCAGCTGCTGGGACTCCTCCCTCACGGCAGACAGGAAGTCGGCAGGTGACTGGCGGGGAGGCGTCGATTTCTCAGCGTGGTTATAGAGACCCTTCCACATCCTGGAGGAGAATAAATGTGAAATATAATAGCAGAGAAACTCTCCACCTGTTTCAGGGACTCAGGCAAACACAACAAATGCACAAAACCAGCAGCTCAGTGCAGCTTCCTTTAACCCTTTAAAGCCGGAAGTGACGTCATTTTCGCGGAAAATGTAGTTTGTTTTTACCTTCGGGGCCTTATGAGCCTATACTGGTGTTTTTGAAAGTCATGTTTGACTTTTTGCTTTTCTGAATTGTTTCTGGGATGCTTAGGACTCAAGTTGCACTGCTGGAAACAGTTTATTTTGATGCATATGCTGGTTTTTTTTGCAAATTTGCATGATAATATTTATTTCCGTTTTTCCAGCAGTGTATAAAAATTGTTGTATCTCAAAAATAAAACTATGAAGACACTCAAAATACATTTCCTGTTGTTAGAAACTATTTTTGTATTTACAGTTTTTAGGGACAAACCTCTTAAATTTCTCTAACTAGAAATATATGTAAAAAACAACAACAACTACTTTCAATTTTTTTGTAGTTTATCTAGTTATTATTCACTTAATGCACAATATTTGGACTATAACGGTTATATTGATGTATAGCAACTTGAAATGCTCCCACAAGAAAGAAAGAATATTAACACATTATTGGCGCAAAGTAGAAGTAACACACAAGAAACATGGAGGATATTAAACAGTAAAATCAAAAAGGGCTCAAAAAATAAGAATTATCCAGATTATTTTAAAAAAGATAAAGATATCGTGCTTGATAAAACTAAAGACATTGCAAATGAATTTAATGATTTCTTTGTAAATGTTGGCTTTAATTTAGCAAAAGAAATTCAAGAAATAAAAACAGAGATGTCAGTTTACCAATTACAGGCCAATATCTCTGCTTCCACAGTTCTCAAAAATTTTAGAAAAGTTATTTGTTAATAGACTTGATAAATATATTGAGAAGCATAATCTCCTAAGTGATAACCAACATGGCTTTAGAGTGAAAAGGTCCACTTCGATGGCAGTGATGGAACTTGTTGAAGGGATATCTAATGCAATAGATAATAAGGAATATACTGTTGGTGTTTTTATAGACTTAAAAAAGGCGTTTGATACAATTGATCTGTATTAATGAATAAACTAGAGAGATATGGCATAAGAGGGATAGCATACAAGTGGATGAAAAGTTACCTGGATGACAGAAATCAATAATGTAAAATCTAAGCAGTTGAAGGTAACTTGTGGTGTTCCTCAGGGCTCTGTGCTGGGCCCCAAATTATTCATATTACATATAAATGACATATGTAATGTTTCCAAACTGTTAAAATGTGTATTGTTTGCTGATGACACCACTCTGTACTGATCAGGTAAAAACCCAGAACAGCTTCTGACTGCAGCGGAAAAAAAGAGTTAAATATATTAAAAACTGATTTGATGTAAATAAGTTATCGTTAAATATAAAGAAAACAAAAAGTATTATTTTGGCACTAGACAAATGAAAAATGTATCTAAAATCAGGGTGAATGGAATTGAAAGAGTGCACGAGAATACATTTCTTGGAGTGATGATTGATGATCAGCTGGAAGTCTCATACAAACCACTGATTTTCTCTACAAAACAAACATGACCTGAACAAGAAATTTGATTCGCCTTGTCTCGTAATCTTTATTCTGTATTCACTGAGATATTTGAATGCTGATCAATAAATCAAAACAAGTGTCCCTACAGCATGTAAGAATATAAGGATAATTCTGGCAGACTTGGTTCTATGGTAGGTCTTAAAGGGTGAACCTGCTGCTGCTTAAATAAATGAATTTAACAGGAATCGTCATGTTTCCAGCTACGCTATCAGGATCCACAGAATCACTGCTGGGAATCGCAGCCGGCTGGACTGGACCAGGACTACACTTCCTGTTTTGTGAGGGAGAACGCGGTTGTGTTGGCGTTTTTGCTGCAGTGACTCACTTGAAGCAGTAGGGGGAGGTGTTGGGTCTCAGCACGCCCTGACTCTGGCTCTGCTCGGCCTTGTACAGAGGGTTAGTGTACTCGCCTCGGTCCTTCCACAGCTGAGGCCACACCGAGTGAGTGCGCTCATGAAGCCTGCAGACACACATCGCACAGCCTTTACCTCCGTGACACAGATATGAATAAAACTGGATTATAAGCGGCGTGCTCGCCGTCGCCTGTGGACACGAGCTGTTGTAGCGATGAAAACATCTGTGGTCTGTGACGAGGAGTGGCAGGTGATGAACGACGGACGGTTCCTCATTAAAAACATTCAAGGTTTCTGCACTTCCTGTTTCTTACTTCCTTAAATAAAAACGAGCAGCGGGCAGATATCCACGCAGACGGGACTGCGACGACATCAGACCATGAACACATTCTGTGCAGTTTCAGAAACTCATCTCGTTTAAATAAAAGCTACGACGGCTGATTTCCTTTAACACAGGAGAGCGAGCTCCTCGAGGGCCGGCGTCCTGCAGCTCTCAGACGCGTCTTTCGTCCAACGCGGCTGATTTAAAGGTCTTGAGTTCTCCAGAGGCCCAGTAATGAACTAATCATGTGATGCAGGTGTGCTGACCCAGGCTGCGATCTAACACCTGCAGGACGCCGGCGCTCGAGGCCTGGAGTTCCCACAGGATCAGTCGCTGGTTTCTACTTTTTCCTCTTTGCATCCGTCACATAAACAGGACTGATTTCTTAAATCTATTCAGACCCTGAAAAGCCGACTCGCCTGCTCACAGTAAGAGCCCGTGAATCCGGGACGCTCGTGCTCACCTCATGTCCCGACGCTCCTTCTGGCTGTTTCCCAGGAAGGTCCCGTACTGACACGAGTACACGTGAGCGTGGATGGCGATGAGGAAGCGCTCGTTGAACTCAAAGGCACACGGGAACTGCTCTGACAGCTGCCACACGCACTCCAGGAACTGGTCGATGACGGGGGACACCTCTTTGGGATCTCTGTCCAGGTGAGCGTACCTGCGGGGCACAGAGCAATATTCATGTGTTCAATCAGGTAAAGAGCAAATATGAACGAGTAATTAAACTGCTGATGCTCTCGTTGAACGTCAGCTGTACAGGTAAGCTTGACATCACTAACAGAAACTAATGAAGCGTCATCACGTCTGAGTCTGTGCTCACGTCTCTACAATCATGAGATTGAAACATTAGAACTGAGGTTCTGCTGCTTTGAAGTGAAAGTCGTTTGGATTGTTTGGACCAACCCTCGCCTTCAGCGTCTCTTTCAGTTTCAACCTCGGAGCTCGTTACAGAACTGGCACTGCCGCCCTCTTCTTCTTTCTCATGGTTTCCCACACCGTAGGACCAAAGTGTCTGAAACGTCTTTATCGTGGACTAAATGTGGACAGAAAGATGCAAGAGAAGCGTCCGAATGAGACCAGACTCAAAGTTACTGACCTGTGTGAGAACTTGTGGCCAAACGACACCCAGTCTCTCTGTATCAGCACCTAGAAGAAGAAGAGGAGGAGGTATGGATGTGAGACGTCAGAGGAAGAACAGGCGATGGTCAGCGCGGCCGTCTGCGTTACCATGAGGCCTCTGATGGTCCTGTAGTACGGGTCCAGCAGGATACTGGCCACAGAGCAGGCCTGGGCGGTCCTGTCCCAGCCGTCTGAGCAGTGAACCAGCACGCTGACGCCTTCGTCCGCCACCGCCTGGAGAGAGCGCAGAGAGCAGGAGTCTGACTTTAGTGCCAGATGGAGCTGCGACTGCTGAACCTGACCTGATGTAATGACCACGTTTTAAAAAAACGACGGGTTACCGTGAGGCGAGCTGGCAACGGGTGTTTGTTTTTAGTTTAGCAAATCCAATCAGAGCATGGAGGCTGCGCTCAGGTGTGCACAGCTCTACCTGTGGATGCATTTACATGCAGCGTAGTAAAGCCACGCTGGGCGACCTCCACCACAAACAGCAGCACAGCGCGTCCACTCTGACCATCCCCACCGCGAGGCCCCGACTGCGTATCATTAACAACGTTTATGTTTCTCACGTCTGATAAATAAAGTCGTGACATCATCCATCGGTCTGATTACGAAGCATCAACTGACTGACTGAGGGGGGGTCCCACCTGACTGAGACCCCACCCCCGAGCGACCGCTAGTTAATAAAGCATTAGCTCTGCTGAGCGTGTGCGAGTGCGTACACACACCCGGGCTACGAAGACGCCGGCATCCAGTATGGCTTTGATGTGTTTGAGCCAACCAGAGTTCTCCAGCCCCCACAGGAAGTCTGTCATGGACGGAGATCGCATTTCCCCCACTGAGAGAGAGAGAGAGAGAG